TGTACTCGTGGTGGAACACCAAACCAATGTGCCAGGATCTGGACAATAAAGATGTATCTTATCTTATCTTATCTTATCTTATGAACGCGTCTCATGTAGGTCTGTTCGCTGATTCCCACATGGCTTACGAGATGGACCGAGATGTAGACAAAGAACCGTCCCTGGCTGAAATGACGGAGACAGCTATCCGGGTACTGCAGAAGAACGAGAAGGGATTCTTTCTCCTGGTCGAAGGTGAGTGCTGGTGAACATGAGGAAATGGTATAGGTTCCAGCCCCCCCCCCTTCTGATAACACTGTGAGGTGTAGGTGATTGGCGGGTGCTCTGGTGTGGTCTGCTCCTTTATTCCTATCAAACTTCTATCGTCCTCATCGCTCTTCCATCTTGTTGTATTTATATGACCCTAATTGTGTTGCAAGTCCCGTAAAACTCTTACTAAAACTAAACCATAAGGCTATTTAAGAGGCATGACCTTCGAGTCTAACGTCCTTCTCCGAAAGGATCAAGCCAGAGTAATGGGAAGTTCGTGTGAAGTGCCTTTCCAAAGGACACAACGTCGGACCGAGCTGAGGCTCGAACCCCCGAAACTGCGATCTCACGACGAGTCTGGTAGCTTGACACTAGGATGCCGACGCCTTGAGGGCTAGTGAAACAGTGGACCTGGTTTTGATGGTGATGGTGATGGTAATATTAGTGGTGTCTGCTACAGAAATCTACCTCATCTTTTGGCTTCATTGTTTACGAACACTTACTGTATTTTGTGGTCGCCTATCAGTCTTAACAATTCATATATTATAATATTGGATCTTTGCCACTTCTCTATCTTTAATCTGCATTGTGCGTATACGTGCGTGTGCGTGTATATATATATATATATATATATATATATATATATATATATATATATATATATATATATATATATATATACATATGTGTGTGTGTGTGTGTGTGTGTGTATGTGTGTGTGTGTGTGTGTGTGTGTGTGTGTGTGTGTGTGTGTGTGTGTGTGTGTGTGTGTGTGCGTGTTTGTACCTTGAGTGTGTCGATTATGCCCTAGGTTAAGTTTTCAGTCAGATGTCCACACATGGAGAATGCTCCATCTGCTGATCAGAATAATGGCATTACAGAATACGTACATAATATATACCTTCTGTTCCTTGAGAAATGGTCTATTCAGAAAACAAAACGTCCTCTCCCCTAATCAATCTGCTGCTTACACAGCCAAGCTTTCAGGAAAATAATCAAATTTTACTGACCTTGAAAACAAACGCGTTTGTTTTTGATGGTCACCGTCTGCTTCGTTCGGTTTGTGCCACATGGTCGCTTTTCACCCTAAATCTGGCTAGCTCCGCCTGCAAAACCGAACCAAACCGAACCCATCGTGATAAATGGCCCTGGGTATTAGGCGCTTCGACGTCACACTCAGAAAACATGAGATCGATTTTTGTTTGCGGAAATTTTTTATAATCATTCCGCTGGGGCGTTATATACCTCTCAGCATTGGTTGGCCCTGAAAGTAAGGTCGAAACCCTCCTCCCAAATAATCTAAATTGGGTCGATAAGGACGCAAAACCCCTTAGTTAAAACACAACCTTCAAAAGAGACGAAGAAACAACTAATAATGAATAGTAAATAGCATTTGTACCACGCACAATCCTTTTCAACAGCAAGCCCTAAGCGATTTACAATTTATACGATGTTTTTACCCCAGCAGACTTTATAACACTCAGAAATTGCTTCGGCTTCCGGGAAGCATACAGTGCAAGCGGGGATTAAGAATTATAGAAACAACTACAAACTGACAAGATATTGAGCTGTCTATAGCCTGGTTCCTATTCCCACCTGAGTGAAGTAAGGACAATTCATGTAACATTATCTTTCGAAAGGACACAATGTCTGTCCCCTAACGGGATTCGAACCCGCGACCTTAATTATTGTAACACGTCTGAAAGTATATCAATCAATCAACCAATCAACCAATCAATCAATCAATCAATCAATCAATCAATCAATCAATCAATCAATCAATCAATCGATCAATCAATCAACCAACCAATCAACCAACCAATCAATCAATCAATCAATCAATCAATCAATCAATCAATCAGTCAGTCAATCAATCAATCAATCAATCTATCAATCAATCAAATAGACAACAAACATACAAACCAACAAACAAAAGTAACAACCAAACAGCCAAACAAACAATCAAGCAAACAGACCAAAAAAAAACAAAAAACAAACAAACAATCAACCAACCTACCATCCAACCTAAATACCAAACAACCAACCAACCAATCAAACAAACAAACTGTCCCTCCTCAGGTGGCAATATCGACACAGCCCACCACGACTCGAAGGCCTCTAAGGCTCTCCACGAGGTGCTCGCCATGGCTGACGCGGTGGATGTGGCCACAGCACTGACCAACAAGGAGGACACTCTGATCGTGGTCACTGCAGACCACTCGCACACCATGAGCATTGCTGGTTACGCACAACGAGGGACTTCTATCCTGGGTGAGGAGCTGTTGTTGGAGAGGGAGGGAGAGGGAGAGAGAGAGAAAGAGGGAGAGGAGGAGGGAGAGAGGGGGAGGGAGGGAAAGGAGGAGATGGGGAGAGAGGGGGGAGAGGGGG